AGAGAGAGAGAGAGAGAGAGAGAGAGAGAAGGAGAGAGCGAAGGCTGGGTCAAAGGGGGACCAGTAGTTAAGGTAGAAAATCAAGGTTAAGGTTTTGAGACATTTAAAAATTTTGGTATAAAAGGTCGACAACTGTTGCCAACAAAATCACATCCAAAAGCTTTTGCAAAAAGTAAATTTCAATTTGTTTGTCGTAAACGAAAGCATCACAAAACTCACCTCTAAAATGAAATTCTTGGTCAGTATTTGCCTATAATTTTTAATGTTGAAAAGTTTTGCCTAAAAGTTAACACTAACTATATTTTATTTAATTATTATACTAATTAATGTGTTTATATTTGTTTGTTGAGCACAGGTATGCCTCGCTGTCATGTTGGCCACCGCCTACGCCACTATCATTACCGCACCCGTAAATTATAACTACGGTTATAATGGCTACGGTCTGGGCGTTGGCCATAGTCTGGGCTATGGTCTCGGGTATAGCAATGTCTATAACTACGGACTCAACAGCGGTTACTACGGTCTGGGACTCAATACTCCCATCTCATACTCGCGGCCCGTGTCCTACAGCTCGTCATATGTGGTGCCGTCCGTCCGATACTCTTCGCCCGTCTATGGCTTGGGCTATGGCTATGGTCTGGGCTCTCAATGGTATAAATAGGTGCCGCTCTCACAGTCAACCTCGATGTGTCTAAATCTGTATTTAAAATACCTACAAAAAACTTCAAAATTTTCATAAAATACTCATTTTTATAAATTAAAAAATTCATTTGCAATGATATGTTGTTCTCTCGAAATGTTTTAATTGGTTTGAAATAAAATTTCACATTTTTTTGCGCAAAATATTTGTTTGTTATTTTATTTAACTCTTAATTTTTGGTAATTAATTTTGTACCATGGCTAATGCGTTAAAAACACAATGATAAAATCACTAAAATATAGTCAATTGACATTCATGAAAATATCAGATAAAGTAATGAAAATTATTGAAAGTAATATTTTGTAAGTCTAGTGCAAAATAGTCATATATTTAGTTTATTTGTACACAAGAGCACTTTGTAAGAGCACTCTTTTTAAAACTATTTAGTGTAAATCAAGTCCATTAATGTAATATCTTAAAATAAAAAGATCATGTTCACATACTAATCACAAGTGATAACAATTCATACCTGTATTTTTTGTAATATTACCGGATTTATTAAATTGTGAAATAAATAAATATATGTACAACATTAGTTGTAAATACTTAATAAAGTTGCATCAATATTATATTTTAAAATAACAATTAATCTAATAAATTGTGTGTACATGGTCACAATGGCATGATAGTGATGGTGTACACACTAACTTTAGGCACAACCAAGCACATATTTCTATCAGATAGTGCCTAATGTACTAAATAGATCAAGTTAAAATCGTGAGAAATTAACCATATGTTAATAAATTATAATTATTAATAAATATCATTATTTTACTTTAATACTAAATCTTTGTATCAAAAATAATCGTATATAAAGAGACAAAAATATTTGATTATTAAATGTTATAGATTTTACTTTCATTTAATTTTCTAAATAACGTAAATAATAAAAACATGAAATTCATTATAATATTGGCGTTGATATCGATAGTGAGCGCAGACTTCCCGATAGAACAGTATAAAGATGTGATAAATTCGCGAAACTTTACGGGAAAAGTAGTGTTAATAACGGGTTCGAGTTCGGGAATCGGTGAGGGAATCGACCTCACCGATTCCCGAACTCGAACCCGTTATTAACACTACTTTTCCCGTAAAGTTTCGCGAATTTATCACATCTTTATACTGTTCTATCGGGAAGTCTGCGCTCACTATCGATATCAACGCTAATATTATAATGAATTTCAAAGTCATTATTATTGTTTTATAGGAATATTTAGTGAAAGTAAACTTAAAAATAATAAGAATTTGAATTATCTTTATATAGAAATTATATCAATTATAAAATCAATTATAGAAACACTTATATTTATTAGCAAAATGTGTTTCATTTCTCACAAGCACTCAATGTTCAATATTTGATAAATTAATTATACCATAAGATAAAATGCACTTGTTTATTTCACAAATTATCTGGCACATCTAATACTTTTGTACACTGTAGAACTTATAAGTTTATAATATAAACTTATAAATTCTACAGTGTACTAAAGTTAACTTTTAGTAAGTAAACTTTATATATTTATTAGCCGTTAATTTTCCGTTACGTCTTCACGAATTATATAAGTAAAAGATTTTGTAATTTTATTCATAAATTATTATATCTGGCGTTATCAACTATTTTTTTAAATTAATAACAAATTAAAGAATATTTTATAAATAATGACTTATAATATGGTATATATTATAAATATAAGTTACATTATATAATAATCAAAGGCATCCAAATGATTAAAAAGTAATAATTATACTTATAAAGGTTTATTGTTATTACAAATTTTATTTTATAATTTTCATGAAATCTAAGGCTTTTACGTTATAGATGAGTCCGCCATCGACTACCAGATTAGCACCGGTTATAAAGTTAGCATCACTTGAAGCCAGGAATACCACCCCTTTGGCGATGTCCAGGGGTTCACCCAAACGTCTCAATGGTGTTTCATCAATCACATCATTAGACAAACCAGGTTTGGATACATCAGTAACACCGGGACTGAAATTGTAGAAAAAGTTTTATGATAAAAATTAAATATTAAATATAAAGTGTTTATTATAAACAAATCTTACTTCAAAGTATTGACACGAATGCCTTTGGGGCCCAACTCTAGTGCCAGTACTCGAGTCAACATATCTAACCCCGCTTTAGCCGCACAGTATGCCAGAGCATACGCACCCTTGTAGATAAATAATTATGATATTTTATAATTAACATTTTAAGATAATGTAGTTAAATAAAATATACCGGTCTTATGCCTGCGATACTCGAGATATCAATAATAGTTCCGTTAGTTTTCTCCAGATGTGGAACCGATTGATGAATGAGTTGTACGACTGCTCTTAAGTCGATATTGAATGTCTGGTCCCAGACTTCCATTAAGTTTTTCATTTCAATAGTGGATTCGGGATAAATACCAGCGTTATTGACCAATACATCTAATTTGCCAAATGTTTTAATAGTATTGTCCATCAGTTTTGTCACGTCCTCCGCTTTAGTCAAATCTCCCACAACTTCTAACGGCTTTTCAAATATTTTAATAAATTATTTCATAACAAGTTTTAATTTAATTTTTCAAACCTTCAGTTTCTTTGGTGATAATTCCAGCACTTCTTTGGCCACTCTCTGGACGTCTGCGGCTTTCCTTCCGGTGACGACAACATTAGCGCCTAATATGGAGAATAGTTTGGCGATTCCCTCACCGATTCCCGAACTCGAACCCGTTATTAACACTACTTTTCCCGTAAAGTTTCGCGAATTTATCACATCTTTATACTGTTCTATCGGGAAGTCTGCGCTCACTATCGATATTAACGCTAATAATAATATAGATTTCATGTTTTTATAATATACCGGTACTATAAAATATTATTATGTGAAAGTTAAATTAATTTTGTAACACGATTTTGAATCTTTTTTATATGGAATTATTTTCATTTATAAAACAATTATAATTATAAAAATGTGTTTTATTTCTCACAGAAACTTCATGTTTATGAATTAATAAATTAATTATACCACATGATAACTTGATCATGTTTATTTAGAGTTTTTTAAATAATTTTCTTAGAATTTATTTATCTATTAGATTAATTTTTAAATATTTAAAAAATTATTTAGTAAATATTTTACATTGGTAATATTATCATTAAAAGTTATGATTAGTTACACAAAAGTTATTCATATTACTTTTATTAGAAATATTTATTTTTTGTGTTATTTTGATAAAAGATGTTGCTGAACACAAAATATAATTTATACAAATGCTTATGTATTTATAAATGCAAAATTTAGTGTATAAAATATTTTAATATTATATTACACAATATTTTTTCTTCAAATCATTTTATAAAATACAAGCATTTGTTAAGTAATGTATTATAAAATAAACTTAAAGTCACAAAATGTGGTATAAATTAATGTTATTATAATGTTATCAATAATTCCCACTAAATCAAAATCTTATCCATAGATGAGTCCGCCGTCTACTACCAGATTAGCACCGGTTATAAAGTTAGCATCACTTGAGGCCAGGAATACCACCCCTTTGGCGATGTCCAGGGGTTGGCCAATACGTCCCAACGGTGTTCTATCGATGTCATCGTTAGCCAAACCAAGTTTGGATACATTGATAAGACCGGGACTGAAATTATAATAACAATATTGTTATTGCAATTAAAATATAGTGTATATAATAAAATTAAAAATAATTAAGAAATTACTTTAAAGTATTAACACGAATGCCTTTGGGGCCCAACTCTAGTGCCAGTACTCGAGTCAACATATCTAACCCCGCTTTTGCTGGACTGTAAGCCAACCCATACACATTCTAATAGAGAAATCAACACGGTATTTTATCATTATTAGCAACTTTAATAACAAAATTTATAAAAATGTAGTCATATAAAACATACCGGTACAATGCCATCGATACTCGAGATATCAATAATAGTTCCGTTAGTCTTCTCCAGATGTGGAACCGATTGATGGATGAGGTTTACAATGGCTCTCAAATCGATATTGAAGGTCTGGTCCCAGACTTCCATTAGGTTCTTCATAGTAATGTTTGACTCGGGATATATACCGGCGTTATTGACCAATACATCTAATTTGCCAAATGTTTTAATAGTATTGTCCACCAGTTTTGTCACGTCCTCTGCTTTAGTCAAATCTCCCACAATTTCTAACGGCTGTGAAAAATATTTTAATAAATTATCTCAACATGTATTTCCATTTGGTTTTACAAACCTTTAGCTTTTTTGGTGATAATTCCAACACTTCTTTGGCCACTCTCTGGACGTCTGCGGCTTTCCTTCCGGTGACGACAACATTAGCGCCTAATATGGAGAATAGTTTGGCGATTCCCTCACCGATTCCCGAACTCGAACCCGTTATTAACACTACTTTTCCCGTAAAGTT